GGATTTTTTAAACAAATTTTACAAGAACCTCTGATCAATATGAGAGGATATAAAACCAAAATATTCTACTACGACACATCGTATTTATAGCAACCAGACAGCGGCAGCCTCTAGCCTACGAAATGATGATTAAAAACGTTTGTAATTGGGTGGAAGAGAATCCAACTAGAATTTCTCATAAGATTGGATTTTCGTTTCCTGTTTAACCGGTTTACGGTAGATCATATAGGGCCCTAGTCTAAACAGGCAATTTGAAATCGGAAAATGGGCTTAAAATTATAAGAACTGTCTATAATGTGGTCTCTCGACATCAATATATTTAATTTTAATTTATAATAAGATTATATTTATCCATTTAGCTCAGCTGATGCCTTGATTAACTGTCAAAGTGCGTAATTTCTATTTGAATTCGATGTGCAATGCTGCCAACCATGTGAAATATTATATGGAAAAACTTGACAGATGATCGAGACAAAAACAAAGGTTGTTGTGACACCGCTTGATTAACTTTCAAATGGTCTGTTCCCGTACTGCAAGAATCTACTAATTTTTAATATTTTCTTCTGGAACAGACCAAAAATTGCGTAATTTCTACTTGAATTCGATGTGCAATGTTGCCAAACATGTGAAATATTATATGGGAAAAGTTGACAGATGGTGATACATCACCTTATTATTGCATTTTTACTATTTTCTTCGATATCATATGGTCTGTTCCAGTACTTTTTTAATAGTAAATCTAGTAAAAGGGAAACATTTCAAAATTGCTCTCAGAGTACAAACTAATTTGAAAAGTTCGGGAACGCAAATCTAGTAAATATGCCAAAATTAGATGGCAATATTTCAAAATCAACATAACAGCCAATCAGAAGTAGGCATTCCTGTTTACCATTTTTACTCGACCAAATTTCTCGAGTAAAAAGTTTTCAAATAGAACGCCATTTTGTTTTTTACTATCTTAAATTTGAGTCAATGTTTTACCAGTTTTGTGGCTTGAGGAACGGTTTTCGAGTAAAAAATTGCAAAACATGTAAAATGAGTAGATTCTTTTAGGTTCTGGAACGAAACTATAAAGAAAAATTTATTATAGTAATAAAAACTACATGGTACAATTATAAAAGGTAACAGCAAGTCCCAACTGATTTGATTCCAACGTAATACTAGTGTCAATATGAATTTGACAAATTATGTTTTTAAAAATCACCCAACAGGAAAATTGGTAACGCATACAATTTGTAATTGTTGTTTATTAAATGTGCTCCCGTATTCAACTTACTCAATCTGCCTGCTGGGAAAGTTTGAGGAAGCAGATTTTTCTTCAAGGAACAACTCGCTATTCCCTGCATTTTCATATGTGTTACACATATATATGTCAATGGCTTAATTATAGGAAAGATGTGGAAGCGATAGAAATATAAATTTGATAGATATTCATTCATGTTTTTCAATTTTTATTTTGAGGATTCGAAAATTTTGTTATTGCGAAAATATTTCATTTTCCAAATAAAAATAATTTGATGATAATTTGTTTGTTTGTTTACAATTTTCTGTCAAATGAGTTGACACTAGTAGAACTTAAAACAACAAATTTCCATGTGGTTGTTGTATCGTTTTTTGTACAACAACACTTGCTGTTACCTTCTATTATTATACTATGCGATTCCCTCAAAGATAAAAGTCGACTTCAACTTTTTGATTTTTCAAAACAAAAAGTCGATTAATCGATTAGTCGAAAGTCGATTTACTTATCCCTACTCGATACTGGGTATCTTCAGTAGGCTCGGTTCTCTCGATACATATTTTTTGGATTTTTTGGCTGAAAATTTTTAGAAATTTAAATCGAATAGGAGAATTTTGTGTTAATTTGTGAATAAACCAAACAATTAAAAATATTAGCAACAAACACAAACAAATCAAAAGTGCAAAAATGTATTTACTAATTGTATTTGTGATAAATTTCATTTATAATATTAAAGGTAAAGGAAAAAAAGTCAATCTAACTAATGGTGAATTTGAATGGAGAATAAGAAAAAAAACGAGAAATGGAAAGAAATCAAGTCCAATTAACACCAAATTAAAAAAAAATAAGATACAAAGCTCAAGATACACAATACATATGTATGGGATAAAGCGAAAAAAATTAAAAAAAAAATAAACCACAAATTTATTCAAAGTGAAAAAAATAATAAACAAAAAAAATTAAACAAAGAAATATATTAAATTGTTTATAAAGGCTGATCCTTTTTTATTCCTTTTAAAAGGAGGAAGAAAACGAAAAGAAAAAACGCATTAAAATTCAGCTCCAAGTGTTCTGTTCGTTCGTTCATTTGTTCAGCTGTGTGTTTGTGTGTGTGTTGGTGTTATTCTTTTTTCTAAATGGATGTCCATGACTCCAATGTGTGTGTGGTGGATAGAGATTGAGGATGTGATGTGATGAGATGGTTTGTTGTTGTGTATGGATGGATGCAAGCACCAACAGCAGCCAGCCAGCCCCCACTTTTTGGTGGCAAAAGAAGAACAAGCACAAGAATATTCGTGGCACACATATACATTTGGTGGATATGGATTCTATGTGGTATTTATAATTTTGCATGCGTTCCCCACAATGAGCAAAAGAGCAAAATTGCTAGCTGAAATGTTCCTCCTGTTGTTCTTCTTGACTAAATGTATATATATATATATATATGTATGAGAGCATGTCCTCCGAATGTTGTGTTTATCCTACATAACACTGCGAAAAGAGAAGAGATGAATCTCGTTGTTTGCCATGAATCTCAGTGGAGAGCAATAACAAAAGACGACCTCCCCCCCAACATATTCATTTGTACACAATGAATGGCATACTTGCTGTTCTCGTTCGCTCTCTCGTGTATCTTTTCTCTCTGGGGGTTTCTTCTATTGTGTTGTCATTGTTTATATGGGTGATGAGAGAACGACAACGACGACCAGCAGCAGTACAATAACATAACATATTTAGTAGAGCAGGCCGAATTATGGGGCCTTTTTAGTAAATTAATTTATGATTTACGATTTTTGTTTTTTTTTCTTTTAATTTCCTGTATTTCCAATTGGAAATATTTAATAAAAGATAAGCCAAATGTATTAATAAAAATTAACAAAAATTATTATTCCGTTTTTTAGAAAGCAATAGGAAGTAGACAAATATCGTTTCCGATTCTAGTAAAGTCTGACAAAGTAAAACAAGTCTTTAACTTTGACCTGGCCGAATTGCTTTCACTCTCCACCATGACGTCGATATTCAAAATACCTAAAATCGATGGCAACTTTAATATGGAGGCTATGTCATGGTAAATTGCTGCCAGACGAAAACGAAATAAAAATCTACAGACATTCAATTTGGATAATGGGGCCAATACTTAGAACATAGCGAAAAAGACACTTGACCTTTGAATGGGGGCTGGTTGGAAACATAGACCTATATTGGAAATCTTCTGTGAGGAAGATGTTTACCCACCAAGGTTCCAAAATACCATTTTGTAAAACTAAACTTGATATGAGTGATCAAAAATTTGGAACTGCTCTAGTGAAAACGATTATATTTATACCCTTCACCACACTATGGTACAGGGTATTATGTCTTTGGGCATATGTTTGTAACAAAGGAAACGAGATAGACACATGGTCCCTGTTGAGAATATGCATAGAATCACTTTTTAATTCGATTTATGCATGTCCGTCTATCTGTCCACGTAAAATTGTAAACAAAGTATGGGCCGCATTTTTGATTCGAATTGCATGAAATTTGGCACAGCTCATTTATTTGGCCCAAGGACAAACCCTATTGAAATTGTGAAAAATCGGTTCAGATTTAGATATAGCTCCCATATAAATTTTCGTCCGATTTTAGGTAAATGGTGCACCAAATTCCTTATCGATTTGCACAAAATTTGGCATAGCGAACTAAATTAAGTCTAGAGTGAATTGTGTTAAATTTCGTGAAAATTGGTTCCGATTTAGATATAGCCCCCATATATATTTTCGTCCGATTTTAGATAAATAGTTCACCAAATTCCCTTTATATCCTTCGATTTGAAATTTGAAATTTGGCATAGCGTACTGAACTGACTCTAGAGTTTCGGGAATATGGGTTTAGATTTAGATATAGCTCCCATATAGATATAGCTCTAGAATGATGAGTGGTGAGTTTCGGGAATATCGGTTTAGATATTGATATAGCTCCCATATATATTTTCGTCCGATTTTGTGTAAATAGTGCACCAATGTCCTTATATATCGTTCGATTTGCACATAATTTGGCATAGCGTACTGAATGAAGTCCAGAGTGAGGTGTGTTAAATTTCGTGAAAATCGGTTCAGATTTAGATATAGCTTCCATATATATTTTCGTCCGATTTTAGATAAATAGTGCACAAAGATCCCTTTATATCACTCGATTTGCCCGAAATTTGGCATAGCGTAATGAATTGAGTCTAGAATGTTGAGTAGTAGGTTTCGGAAAATCGGGTCAGATTTTGTTATACTTCCCATATATATTTTCGTCCGATTTTAAGTAAATAGTGCACAAAGGTCCCTTTATATCCTTCGATTTGCACGAAATTTGGCATAGCGTAATGAATTGAGTCTAGAATGATGTGTGGTAAGTTTCGGAAAAATCTGTAAAGTGGTGACATGATAGGGTCTCCGTGTGAGAGATAGAGTAAAAAAGTGATTTCTGAACCAGTTTTTTGAAAACCACCTAAAAGTCGAACAAGGGTTCATTATAGTCCCTTACCAATCCTGTTCCAAATGATGGGCTACACTTTTAGCTCTCCAAAATAAAAATACCAAATTATAGTCAATTCGGTTAAAAACATGTCTATAATTTCCTAAATACGGAATATTGGTGGCTATAAAAAATAAGATCGATATAGAGAGATTGCACTCTATGCATGCAAGAACTCCGTCGGAAAAAGCTGGGGGGCTAAAACCATCGACTATACATTGGTTGTATAACACGGTGGTAAGATCCATCATTTCCTATGGTTCTCTTGTTTGGTGGCATTGCTTGCGCCACGACATCGCAAACTAAACAGGGTACAAAGAGCCGCCTCGATTCTAATAACTGGAGCCGCGAGAAGCATCCCACAAGCAGCTCTGAACGCAATGCTGAACTTAAGGCCTCTGTGTCTCAGCTTTGTCAGGCAGGGGGTAGTGCCCTAAAGCTGCAAGAACAAAATCTATGGCGAAATTGTACCTAAACTAAGTGACTATATATCACCAGTCCTGAGATTTGACGATGTAGATGTAGTTATCCCTAGCAGAGACGACTGGAACCGTAGCAACCCTTCTCTGGAAGGTCTGGCTTTTTATACAGAAGGAAAAAGATGGAAGAAGGTTGGCGTCTACTGTGAAAGGCTAGACCTTGAGCTTATCTACAAGCTGGATAGCGACTGTAGTGTTTTCCAAGCTGAAATCTTCGCTATTTGTAAGGCAGTGTAATTGATGAAAAGTCTGGATGCAGAGATCGTTGAACCGGTGACTATCATTGAGTATAGTCAGGCGTCTCTTAAAGCCATCAAATCCTGTAATATCAAACCTGAGGTCGTCCTCGAGTGTAGAGCAGTTTTGGAAACACTCACTTACAGCTATCGGCTGTGTTGGGTACCAGGACACCGTGACATCATGGGTAACGAAAAAGCAAACGAATTAGCTACACGAGGATCTCAATCTACAGATCTAGCAATCGATTGCTCAATCAAACCACCAATCTGTCATCTTTTTCGGAACTTTGAGGCGTTCTTTGACGAACGAGCCAATGAACTCTGGCACAACGGACCTACGTGCAATGTGTCAAGATCTGGCCGACTCTGTCAACCAAGAGAACAAACTCACTGTTGAACCTGAGCAAAGCTGAAATTAGAGTAATAACAGGAGTCATTACTGGTCATTGCAATATCAGGGTCTTTACCAGTAAATGGGACCATTATGTTACTGATTACTGCAGACTCTGTGCTGACGAGGAGGAGGCGGAGACAGTTGAACATCTCCTGTGTCGCTGTCCAATTTTGGCCTACAGACCGCACAGACTAGTGGGTGCTCACATTCCACCATCTCTAAGCTTCTTTTCAACTATAGAACCTGCTTTAATCCACAACATCATTAGAAACCTAAAGTTGTTAGGAATTTATCAATTTAATTAGTATTTTGTTGGCGCCCAAAGTGGGTCTACATGACATTTTTTCTCCATTTTTTACGTCCAGTAAGTAGAAGGCTCGCTCGAAACCCGCGTCGCAGTCGCCGAAAAATGACTCGTGATCAATATTGCATTCGGCAAATATTGAAAAATGAGCTCGGGGTAAATTTAATTAGTATTTTGTTGGCGCCCAAAGTGGGTCTACATGACATTTTTTCTCCATTTTTTACGTCCAGTAAGTAGAAGGCTCGCTCGAAAACCGCGTCGCAGTGGCCGAAAAATGGCTCGTGAGCAATATTCCATTCGGCAAATATTGAAAAATGAGCTCGGGGTAAAGCCATTGAAATTCCAAAAAAGTGCAAGAACTTACACCGCAACAGAAAGAAAATAGACTTAAAAGAGCTAAAGAGTTGCTTCGCTTGGACGACAGTGGTGAACTGCCGAATTTGGTTTTCTCCGATAGGAAAACATTCGTTGACCAGCAGTTCGAAAACAAACAAAATGATCGTGTTTACTTGCCAAAGAGGTCAGCTGAAAATGTGCACCTTCGGTTGGCCACCGAAACTCAAGCGCCGGCCATGGTGATGGTGTGGGCCGCCATAACAGCCGATTGTCGCTATCCGCTCGCAAACACGCTTCATTTCCAGCGCACAATGGCCACCAAAATCTCCGGATATCAATCCGTTGGACTATTGTGTCTGGAGAATTTTGTAAAGCATGGTTGGCACTAAAAATACCAAAGTGTCGATCTGCATTTTAAGCCTTTAGATATTGCAAAATGTGTGGCGCCCAACGTGGAAGCACAAAAGGAATATTTTTTTTTTAGAAAATTAATAAGACATACACGACCGATATATTTTCTCTTATAATATTTCACCTTCTCTTTATATATTTCACCTTCAACTTCAATAGTGGTCAACTGTAGTGGCCCCCAATGCGAGATAAGGAACAAATTATTTTTATTAAACATTCTGATATATAGTGGCGAAAAATGTAGCATTTAGGATAAAAATTAATGCCAATTAACTTATTTTCTCTTATATTAATCCAAATATGAACATATATCACCTTCATCGTAAATAGCCGTTGTAGTGGCGCCCAACGCGAGGTAACGAACAAATTATTTTTATTAAACATTCTGATATACAGTGGCGAAAAATATAGAATTTGCGATAAAAATTGATGCCATATTAATTTCTTCAGAATATGGTGGCGCCCAACGTGGCCCCACGCGACTTTTTTAACGTCCAGTAAATATAAGGCTCGCAAGAATTAATGTTTATTTTCGTTCAGTCACTTAAATTTGGTAAAAAAGCCCCATGGGAAAATATTGCAAAATGTGTGGCGCCCAACGTGGATATTCACCCAAAATTTTATATATTTTTATTAAACAGCTTGAATTTGCGATAAAAATATATTTCATATCAATTTTCAGAAATTTGTTGGGGCTCAACGTTTCCCATGTGTGGCGCCCAACCCGAAACAACGAACAAATTATTTTTATTTGTGATCGAAATAGATACCATATTAACATGATTAGAATTTTGTTGGCGCCCAACGTGGGCAATACGAATTTTTTTCATGATTCATTTTATTACGTTTCATATCATGTGACTAGCACGCTAGCAAGGAATAATGTCTATTTCTCCTCAGTTACCTAAATTGTTGTAAAAAGGCCCCCTTCGAAAATTTTCTCAATCTTCCCAAATGTGACCACTGCTGCTCATCAAGCCATGAGAATAAAAATTGCAAAATGTGTGCTATTGAGCAACTGAGAGTAGGTGGGTGGATGGTGTGTGTGTGTTTGTTTTTTTTTTATGCTGCACTGAGAATATTCGTTTTTTGTTGTTGCTGTTGTTGTTGTAATTATTCTTGTTTATGGCAAAGAGATGATGTTGTTGTTGTTTGGTGAATCCACCAGGCTTACATTTGCTCTCAATAGGGGATGTTTGTAGATATGGTGAACGAGCGAGCAAGTGAGCCTTGTGTGTGCTCTACATGTGTGCGTGTGTGTGTTGGTGTATACAAGTGTTTGTGTAGCGGATATGTCAAAGGATATATGTCACAAACACAATGTTATTTCTTGTTTTCAAATAGTCACACACACGAATGCACGCATACACATTTGTAGCCACCAACATATATTTCAACATTCTACGCCCACTCCCCCACATGGACGGCGGGATGACAGCAGCAGCAACACAAAAAATGGAATAATATAAAATATTACAAGTTCTTATGGAAACAAACGAAGTTTCAATATATACAATATTTTTTCGGAATAATAATCATAAAGTCTCCCCGATTGTGCCCCCTCTACCCTGCAGCTTGTCTTTCTCTGGGAATCATGTTGGTCGGTCGTATAATGTTTGTTGTTGTTGTTTTTATTATGCATTTTTGCATTTTCGGGGAACGAAAGAAAAAGTCAAATGTGCCACACGTACACAAACATAACCAGCAACAACAACAACACCACCGACACCAAAAAAGAAAATGTGGAACATGGCCTGATGAGGAAATTTTGTGCCCCACCAAGCACATCGAAGAAGAAAGGAGGGTGGTGGTGGCCAGGGAATAATGATTGCTTGCTGGCTGGCTGACATACAACTTGTAACATGTTTTAATGGGCCAACAAACATCACAAATGGTGTTGCTTGCTGTCCATGTTTGTAGATTGGTTTTGCCGTTGTTGTTGGTGGTGGTGGCGGTGGTGCTGTCGTTATGCTTCAGTGCATTTGTTGTTGCTGTCATTCTGTTTTGTGTTCTTTTGGGAACCATACAACAATGTAACCGAAAACATGTCGCACATGTGCACCATGTTCAACTATTGGGAAACTAGCTGGAATGGAAAATATATAACTGCTGCTCATGTACATTCATCCAGCCAACTAGCTAGCCAGCTACCCATCTATCCCGTCGATCACTCAACCATATAACATGTGGCTGCATTATTTTGTAGTTTTCTGTTTGTATGTTGTTGTTGTTTCCTGTGTTTAGCTCCCTCTCAAAATAAAAACCCTAAATAACAACGGCAACGACACCAACAACAAAAAATGGCACACACATTTTCAAATTTTGTCACAAAATATTGAGGGAAGGCCTCCATGGAGTAGCTAGCTTGCTGGCTAGATGTGTGGGCTTGTAACACACATGTTTCTTTGGTATTTGACACCTGAATATGTTTTGTGTGTGTGAGTGTTTGGTTATGTTGTCACTTCCTCTCTACCAGCACCACCACCATCATCCATAGCATCCAAGTGCAAACTGCTGGGTACTTTTCCCCCCAATTTAATGATGAAAATATTGTTGTTTTCTTTTGTATACTTGACGTTGTTTTCTTGTAGTTGTTGTTTTTGTTGTTGTCATTCAAGTATGTTTTAATGTGACACATGTGTCGAAAATTTGAATTGCATTTGTTTTGTTGTTGTTGTTGTTGTCGACCGTTGAAAAATGAAACACATAAAAAGGTACCACTTTTTAACCCTTCATTTCAATGTCATTTACTTTTGTTCGTTTTGTTTTGGGTTATTTAAAAACTTAACGAAAGTCATGAGCCATATGATGTGAAGGTCTATATCTTAAAATAGGATTCTAGAAGGTTTAGAATTATAATCTCAGCCATAAGACTAATGATATGCACTTTGATACAATTAAAGCAATGAGCGGAGCTGTATAGTCGAACGGAGGCGGAGGATCATATGATAACCTAGACAGTTCATTCCGACGATTATGAAATTGTCAATGTCTATATTCGCCCGTTAACAGTATTGGGGGCAGTTATAATCCATCTACTGCAGGGAGATAATAAAATTCTTCTTGGCGATTCTCGCGGCATTATTGACTAGGAATCCTCTACCAGGGTCACTGCTAACATAGACAGTTCATTCCGACGATTCTGAAATTGTCAATGGCTATATTCCGCCCGTCAACAGCATTTGGGACCAGTTATCATCCAGGCCTAATCCATCTACTGCAGGGATATAATAAAATTGTTCATGGCGGTTCTCGCTGCATTATTAACGAGTAATCCTCTACCAGGGTCACTGCTAACCTAGACAATTTATTCCGACGATTCTGTAATTGTCAATGTCTTTATTCCGCCCGCCAACAGTATTGGGACCAGTTATAATCCAAGCATAATCCTTATACTACAGGGAGTTATTAAAAAAGTTGTTCTTTGCTATTCTCGCGGCATTCTTGACGAGGAATCCTCTACCAGGGTCACTGTTAACATAGACAGTTCATTCCGAAGATTCTGAAATTGTCAATGTCAATATTCCGCCCGTCAACAGTATTTGGGACCAGTTATCATCCAAGCGTAATCTGTCTACTGCGCGGGTGATAATAAAATTTTCCTCGTTGATCCTCGCGGCATTCTTGACGAGGAATCCTCCACCAGGGTCACTGCTAGTCACTGCTAACATAGCAGTCCATTCCGACGATTCTGAAATTGTCAATATGTCAATGTCAATATTCCGCCCGTCAACAGTATTTGGGACCAGTTATCATCCAAGCATAATCTATCTACTGCAGGGTGATAATAAAATTTTTCTCGTTGATTCTCGCAGCATTCTTAACGACGAATCTTCTACCAGGGTCACTGCTAGGTCTTTGAGCTCTCCTATCACTTCATAGCTCCTCCCGTAAACTTCCAAAGATGACTTTAAATTTAGACCACATTTCCATTCTGGTCAGTGTAGCTATTTCGTGGAGCCAGATCAATGTACATTCATGAATTACAATAAAGCCAATTGAAACGGCTTCACAAAATTCATTGAGGACTTCTTAAGTCCTCCTCGCGGCATTCTTGACGAGGAATCCTCCACCAGGGTCACTGCTAGTCACTGCTAACATAGCAGTCCATTCCGACGATTCTGAAATTGTCAATATGTCAATGTCAATATTCCGCCCGTCAACAGTATTTGGGACCAGTTATCATCCAAGCATAATCTATCTACTGCAGGGTGATAATAAAATTTTTCTCGTTGATTCTCGCAGCATTCTTAACGACAAATCTTCTACCAGGGTCACTGCTAGGTCTTTGAGCTCTCCTATCACTTCATAGCTCCTCCCGTAAACTTCCAAAGATGACTTTAAATTTAGACCACATTTCCATTCTGGTCAGTGTAGCTATTTCGTGGAGCCAGATCAATGTACATTCATGAATTACAATAAAGCCAATTGAAACGGCTTCACAAAATTCATTGAGGACTTCTTAAGTCCTATGTCGACACCCGTATATGCCAGAAATGGTGAGAAAATATTCCATGAATTTTTTCTAATAGCGGCATGAAGCGATCCGCGGATCAAGCGATCAGTTATCCGGAAATGCAAGAATCTTAAACAAGACTTGCAGCACCTATCACATCCAGCGAGGAAGAAGCAATTATCTCCAAATCTAAGCTGTCTGAAGCCCATGCTCCAGTTATCATCCAAGCATAATCCATCTGCAGCAGGTAGATAATCAAATTGTTCTTGGCGATTTCAAAGCTCATCATGAGATATGATTTTCTCGCCTTCTAATTTCGCTCCCATCAACGAGGAATCCTCTACCAGGGTCACTGCTGCGTGTTCGAGTTTTTCGGACATTACTATAGTCTGCCCATCGCTCATTACGCACACTTCCTGGTAAACACAAGTTGCCAAGATTCAGTCCATTTTTCAATCCCCAGTCCATATTCCCATCCTGGTCACTGTAGAGAAACCCAGCTACATCGTGGAACTCGACCAGCGTGCATTCATTGAGAACTTTTTGAATTATATGCCACCACCCTTTTGTGTTAGAAATGGTGAAAAAATATTTCGTAAAATTCTTCTAAAAGCGGCACATTGCTTCATTCCTGCAGGCATCAAATTTTCTATCCAGTGCCTCCAGATTGGCACAGCAACGCCACCAACTTTGTGCCGAAAGCCCCCATTGACGAGAGAATCCCGCAGCTAAGCGGTGAAATAGATTCTGTTGTCTTTGAGCATAGGCGTTCTAAATGGTTAGAACACCTTTACCACTGCAACATAAATTCCAAACAGCTATAGTCTACAATTAAGAGTATATCTGGTTCCAAAAGAAATAAACATTTTTCCCTGCCATTTCCTTCAGCATTCAGATACCAAAAATGTAAATTTGCAGTTCTGCCGCCAACTCATTGAGCATCCATCTTTGCAGAACAGGATCAAACGAGCAATTATACGGAAATGCAAGAATCATAAATGAGGCTTGCAGCCCCTATCATACACATCCAGCTAGGTAGAGACTATTATCTCCTAATCCAAGCCACCCAAAGCCCTTGGTCCAGACGGCATTTCCATGTTTATGTTAAAGAAGCTTGGCGCTAAATTGATAAATTATCAGATCAAAATCCTCGAATTATTGATGTCACAGTTGGCAATTTCGGATATTTAGAAAGTTGCTCGGATTATTCGAATTCTAAAGGCAGACTAATGGGGAATCCCGATTCTCTTCTTTCACCAAATAGCCAAGGTATTAGAGCCCCTATTGCTTCCGTCCCGGAGATAGTTTTTCATTATTGCTACCCATCAACATGGTTTCAGGGAAACATATATCACAATAACGGCTTTGCATGAAATTACTTCAAAGATTGCGAATGGCTTCATTTAACAGACCTTTATGTAGCTTTAGATCTGTCCAAATGTTCATTCCGAGATGATATCCGACATCACAAATTCCAACCTTCCGAGTGTTGACTTGCCAATTATCTTTTTGGTCATCAAGCGTGAAGTTCCGTGGCCAGAAATCTAAATAACACAATGGGAGTCATGCAAGGCGATGACCCATCTCCCAACACCATCCTGCAATTTTTTTTCTTTCTAGGCAAATCCACGCCTTCTATGACTCTTTAAACTTTTTCTTTAAAAAATGCACGCCTTCTTTGACCCTTGGAACGTTCTCTTTAAAAAATGCACGCCTTCTATGACCCTTGAAACTTTTTTTCTTTAAAAAATCCACGCTTGAAACTTTTTTCTTTAAAAAATCCACGCTTCAAACTTTTTTCTTTAAAAAATCCACGCTTGAAACTTTTTTCTTTAAAAAATCCACGCTTCAAACTTTTTTCTTTAAAAAATCCACGCTTGAAACTTTTTTCTTTAAAAAATCCACGCTTGAAACTTTTTTCTTTAAAAAATCCACGCTTGAAACTTTTTTCTTTAAAAAATCCACGCTTGAAACTTTTTTCTTTAAAAAATCCACGCTTGAAACTTTTTTCTTTAAAAAATCCACGCTTGAAAAATTTTTTTTTAAAAAATCCACGCTTGAAACTTTTTTCTTTAAAAAATCCACGCTTGAAACTTTTTTCTTTAAAAAATCCACGCTTGAAACTTTTTTCTTTAAAAAATCCACGCTTGAAACTTTTTTCTTTAAAAAATCCACGCTTGAAACTTTTTTCTTTAAAAAATCCACGCTTGAAACTTTTTTCTTTAAAAAATCCACGCTTGAAACTTTTTTCTTTAAAAAATCCACGCTTGAAACTTTTTTCTTTAAAAAATCCACGCTTGAAACTTTTTTCTTTAAAAAATCCACGCTTGAAACTTTTTTCTTTAAAAAATCCACGCCTTCTATGACCCTTGAAACTTTCTTTAAAAAAATCCACGCCTTCTATGACCCTTGAAACTTTCTTTAAAAAATCCACGCTTGAAACTTTTTTCTTTAAAAAATCCACGCTTGAAACTTTTTTCTTTAAAAAATCCACGCCTTCTATGACCCTTGAAACTTTCTTTAAAAAATCCACGCTTTCCAGACCCTTGAAACCTTTCTCTTTAAAAAATCGATTCGAATTCGCCCTCACTCTGTCAGCATTGATTCGCAAAGATCTTCGTCATCACAACAAACCGATAACAGTAACATGATTGCCAATTCGACCAGAAACACAATGATACGACCCGTCATTGTAATTATGAAGGGGAAAATATGGTCGGTGAACTTATAATCATATTGAACATAGGATTATTCAGATCTTCCGATCTGACTACTACAACAAGATTTCACACCTCTAGACCCGTATTATATGGGTTCGACATAACTTAGCATTGGTTAAGAAACCACCACACTTCTGGATATTAAATTCGAGTACAAAATATATATTTGAATAAATACTCCGGGAATATGTTGTTTAAAACAAAAAACATTTCATAAAATCCTTTAACTAACTGAAATCATTTCTCTTTCCGCTCTTTTCAGATGCCCTTGCTGCCAGCTCAACACAAATGATCAACGCCCATTGTCGCGACTACAATGGCAAGATGTACGAGACTGGGATGCATTATATGCCCGGTCCAGATTCGTGTCGTTTGTGCATATGTGATAGTGGTCTGCCGAAGGCCTGTAAAATGGTCTTGTGTGAGGCATTTACCAAATGTAAATCTTTTCAAACCGTGGGATCGGGCAATAACTGCTGTGAGGTGATTTGTCTCGATGATCAGCTAGCCGATGGTAGTACGGATTTTGGCGTTTGACTAATCGTTAGTGGCATTACTGCCACGCTATCACTGTCGATGATATTTTTCCTTATAAATCGATTTAGACGCAAAAAATTGAGGGCACGTGAAAATCGTCAAACGGCCGAGGATCAACGTAGCATTGTGGGGAGTATAGGGTGAGTTAAGGGATGAAGGTTTTTTTTTGTTGTAAAATAATAATTGATTTAATTTCCCTTTTTTGCAGTTATATTGCTGGCAATATGGGTTATATGGAGGGCAATCTCAGTAGCATGGATTATACATATGGTGGAGCGGCTCATTATCCCTTGTGGAAACCACCAAGTGGCTATTTTCCACGTGGTGAAGCTCCGCCGCCATACGATGAGGCGGTTGCCATATCACAGGCTGAGGCCTTAAGTGCCCAATGTGCAGCAGCTGCGGCGGCAGCTCAGGTAGCTGCCAATCAAAGAGCCACAATGGGCATGAATTCGGTGGAGTTACAAACGGCCGATATGAATCGAAGAGCCCAACAGCAAATGCAACAAATACAACATCATGCGCAACCACAGCCGCAGCCATCGTCACATGGTCCAATGAGTCATCAGACGACGACGGGCCATATTGTGCCCACATTACAGGCTCACGTACTGACGGGGCCATCACCACAGGGCCAGACGACGGCCACAAATCCGGCACAATCACATCAAATTACCCAGAGTACCACCAATTTAATAAATATCAATATAAACAGTGGTGGAAATATTACCACCATAGCCACCGGAGAGAACCATCAACCACCCTATAGTTTACAAGATGAATCGCAGCACCAACAAATGCAATTGCAGCATCATCATCACCAACAACAACAGCAGCAGCAACAGCATCATCAAGCTCAGCAGCAGCAAATGTTGGCTGCCACCACTTCGTCCACCACATGTGTTGGGAATAATGCCAACAATACAAATCGTTTGCACATAGCTCAAAGTAATTCCATTTGTGTGCAGACAATGACACCAATTGTCTCACAACACCAGCAACAACAACATCATCAAATGGCTGCTCTACCCCAACAGCAGCAACAACAACAACCGCAGCAGCAGTCGTCGTCATCATCCGCCACCCAAAGTGTTTTACAGTCAGCTCAAATAATGACATCAACCTTAACGGCAAATGCTTCGACAACAGCCTCCCTAAGTCGACAGCACCAACAACAACATTCTGGTGGAACAGCAGTACAAACATTGGTCGGTTCCAACGATTGTGGTTATAAAAATTGCCATTTGAATGGAACAACTGTGGGGGGCAACAGTAACAGTGGCAATACTGTGTCACGACGTCTGCAGCGAACTGCCGCCGACCAACTACCGCCACTACAACAATATGTGGTTGATGTGGAGGTGAATGTAAGTCAAGGTTCTCATCGAAGTGGGGGTGGTGGTGGTGGCTATCATTCACTGCCACCCTGTTCGTCGAATGGCAACGGCTCGGAAAATGGTGAAGTAATAGCATCTCCCACCCAATTTGGCAATGCTTCACCATCGCCCTCCTCCCTAACACAGGCCATTTCAACACCTGCCATAGATGTGGATGGCTCAGCAGCCACCAATGATCATTTGTCAACATTTTCCACGGCCACAAATTCGGAAAATCATCATCTACTACCCATGGCGACATCGGGTCACAACACTTTGCCTCTACAACATTCACAATCTAGTAAAACATCTAATGGCGGTGGTGGCGGTTCAAAAACTACCTCCTCCTCGGGATCTTCATCGAAACGTTATCATCGTACAATGCCACGTTACTACGCTGTGGCCGATCCCCTAACACAAAATCTCACAAATAGCAAATCATCCAAAGCAGATGCCAAACTCTCGGCTGGCAACTCTTCGGCAAATAGCAACATCTCGTCAGCATCGACAACCTCCTCGTCGAATGCCTCCAACTCCTCGTCATCTTCGAAGAAGCCAACCTGTCAATGCCCCGTACAGCATGTGCCAATGTCGTATATGGGTTCGACCCAGCTCAGCAATGCTCAAAATGCCACCAACAATGCTTTCTTCACTGTCCTTAGCAACAAATTGAATTCTAACTCGTCTGCCTCGAATTCACCCTCACCCAGTCAACATTCATCCACTTCGTCGCGGCTACAAGGAAATTCGAATAGCAATTCTTTGAATTATCAAAGATCGGCAAAGACGACGAACACAACATCACAAGCATCGTCATCACAGCAAACCGATAACAGTAACATGATTGCCAATTCGGCCAACAACACAATGAAACGGTCCGGCAACAATATGAGCGGGGGAGGAGGTCACTGTAATTATGAGGGGAAAATTGCCACAATATCGTCGGGTGAACTTACAACGTCATCAAACAGTCAACAGCAGCAACAACATCATCATCATGGTCATGCCCATAGTCACAGTCACAACCATCATTCGTCATCGTTAATGTTGCCACCACCGCAACATCATGACGATTCTTCGCCCATAGTTTTGGGTCGTGTCACCAAGCGCAGCTCGAGCAGTAGTGGTGATCGTTTACGCAGTGCCAGTAGTGGCAGTAGCCGGGCATCGATGGTTGACAGTACCACCATAACATCGCCAGCTGCTGCTGCCTATTTGAATAGCAAGGTATGTTTGATGTGAGAAATGTTTTATTTTCTCTTTTTTCTTAACTGTAACGATTTTTTCTTCTCTAATTTGTTGTATTTCTTGTGTGACGATTTTTTCTCAAACTTTTTTGAGGTTAACCCGAATCAGACTATTTTAATTTTCGCCTTTTTTCTTCATCTTCAACTATCATAAGTCCCTGAAAAAATAAGTTATAAAGATCCACGCCTATCGTAAGTCCCTGAAAAAAATAAATTTTAAAGATCCACGCTTATCATCAAACCCTGAAAAAAAAGTTCTTAAAATCCACGCCTATTAGAAGTCCCTGAAAAATATTTTTTAAAAATCCGCGCCTATTAGGAGTCCCTGAAAAATAATTTTTAAAAATCCACGCCTATCATAAGTCCCTGAAGATATAATTTTTAAAAATCCACGCCCACTATTACCCTAATATAACTCAGTTAATTTCTTTTAAGTCACATTTAACCTCAAAAGTGTGAAATGTAAAATAACCTCAAAAAATGACATAACCTCAAAAAAGTTTTGAAAAATCCGAATTTTTTGCCTTATCTATTCACTGCATCATATTGTATTTTTTTATATCAAATCTCTTGACGTATTTTTATTGCATTATAAATAATTTAATCTATATATATTATATTTTCATCTGCAACAAAAAATATAAAAAGTTCTCAATCTACCATTTTTTAAAAATTTTATCTCATCATCACCATTTTTTGATTTTACAGAACATTACCTCATTACGCAGACAATAACAATCATCATTTTCTCCTCCTATTGCACTACAAATTTCATATTAAAATAAAAAAAACAATTAGTAGAGACAACTATCCTCTATGTTTTTATGTCCACCCCCACCACCACCACGATCAAAAAACTTACCACCACCTACAACCACAATATTCACCACAAAATTATATCATTTCTCTTCTATGTGTATACTATGTACAAAAAGAAATCCAAACCCAAATAAAAAAGACAATCTGTGTGAAAAAATCAGCTTAAATCCATTTTTCTTAAAACTTTCTTTTTGTGAACGTTTTTTGATGTGGATGGCTTGGCTTTGATGTTTATGTTTGTGTGTGTGTGCGTGCGTGCGTGTAAAAATTGAATCAAAACAACAACATGATGCTCACTGAACTGGAACCACAACATTTCTCCTTTACCAAAAAAACGAAAAAATAAAGGTTGATGCCTATTTAAGTTTTGCCCATGGATCGGGAGCAGGACACCACCTGAAAGGCTATAACAATGATATTATGAATCCAGCCTTACCACCGAAATTACACAAAAGTTTAACGAATTTAAAAACTTCATCATCCGCCGCCTCCTCCTCCACGGGCCACAATAACCACCACCATCAACAACAACAACAACAGCAACACAACAACACTAATGTGATCGCCACATCATCATCATCGGCTACAACAAATACTTCACATCGAAATAATACGTCATCCCACAAAATGAACGAGGGTGGTGGCGGCTCCTCATCAGCAAATTGTTCGAATACCACAAATGGTGGCGCCTATAGTAGTACCCTGAATCCATCCTCCACATCCACATATTTGGCAGCAGCTGCAACAGGAGCATCTTCAACCAACTGTTCCTCTCCCTCCCCCTCCCCCTCCGCTTCCACAACCTCTGTACAAACCATATACACACTAAGTAAACCCTCCTCTTCATCGTTATCGGCTGCCCTAATTGGCTTAACCAACAACAACAATAACACCACAACCACCTGCACACCACCCACACCCTCGAATCGTCACGCCACAAAGGATCATCATGATCACATTATGAAAATACAGCCACCATCATTGACACTACCATTGAGTACTACGTCGACCACATCATCGTTTACCAGTTCCACAAGTAAAATTAACTCTTCAACATTTTATCCCTTGCAAAACAATGTCACCTATACGCTGCCAAAGAATGTGGGAGGTGGTAAGATGTCCCTGAACAGTACCATCAACAGTGTGGTCAGTAAGGTGCCATCGGTGATTAGTCTACCGCCAACGGGTAGCTGTGAATCGAATATCACCAATTATCATGGCCATGGCTATAGTGGTCTATTGGGCGGCGCCAACGATACGGGGGCCTATAACAGTCATCAGTATTTGAATGAAATGCATGGATCGTCGTCGTCGCCATCACCAGCAGCAACATCAGGATCGTCATCATCATCCTCAAAGAGTACTACACTGCCAAAGATATTACGTTCGAAACAGCGTGATGTACACCAGTCCAGCCTCACTCCCTCGTCGAATCTCAATTGTAATACATCATCTAATGGTGGTGCAGCAGCAGCGTCGTCATCGTCTACTTCGTCCTCCTCCAACAATTATGCGGTTTCGCAATGTTCTATGCCAGCTTATCCCAAACAGTATACTGCCAATTCTTCCTCCTCCGCAAATAACTCCTGTAACTCCTCCGCAAATGGTGCCTCATCTACTACTGCCAACAACAGCGGCAACAGTAATAACACCAATTCCCAGCAACAACAACAACCAACCAATATAAATAATATGCAAACCCAAACAATAACATCCACATTGGCTGTTAATTATTGTCCAGAGGATTCTCATTTGAATGCAGGTGGTGGTGGCGCCCATCACAATTCTCCGTCTAATAGCAGTAATAAAACAACATCTGGTGGTGGCCGTTCGCCATCATCCTCCTCCACCACCAATTCGCATTCTCAAACCAAACAATTACCAGTTTGTACCACATCCAAAAATTGTCTAAATCCCAAGGAGCATTTTCTACCCAACGATACCAGTTTGGATGATGATTATCTAAGCGAATGTGAAAATTGTAAAATCGCCCAAAGCTCAAAATACTATTTGAATGCGGAACAATTGACCAGTGTTGGAGGTGGTCCCCAGGAGACAATGACGCTACAGCGTAAATCATTGGAGGAATGTAAAGATGAGCCGGAAACAGGATATTATCGTATATCGCATACATTGCCAACAAATTCTAAAAAGAATGCGTAAGTATGGGACATTTTAATAGAAATAAACAACAAATGAAAGACCCTAGAAAATACGTATTACAAAATCAAAGGCCTTAGTCCTGGATATATTTTACATTCATTTTAATATTAAAAATATAGTTAAGAATTTTATGACACCATATGTCCCAAAAGAAAATATATATTTTTAAATCCAAGCCCTACAAAAAATATATATTAAATATTCCAAGGTCAGTATAGGTCCTTTTATTATTTAAATCCAAGCCTCTCGCAGGTTTTAAAAAATTAAAGATCAGTTTTTAAATCCAATTCTTTCAAAAATATATTAAAACCCCCGTGGCCACCATAGACCCTCAAGAATATATATTTTCAAAATCAAAGCCCCTCAAAGGCCTTTCAAAAATTAATTTAAAAAAATATTTAAAAAAAAATCCACTCCTATCATAAGTCTCTGAAAATATATTTTTAAAAATCCAACACAAAAATGTGTATTACTTTTTTAATAGTCAATAATTAATTATTTCTTTTCCCTCTATCCAGCCCCGTCAAAACTAATAATCGTGATCAATGGTTTTCAACTATACCAGCTGCCAGTTCATCGTCCGAAGAGGATATCAATGAATGAGATTTAACACATTTTCTTTAGTATTTAATAAAGACATTAGAAAGAAAATAAAGCCAAGCAGGCAAGCGAGCAAGCGAACGAATGAACGAGCGAGTGAGCCGAGCCGAGCAAGAAAGCAGCTAATCAAGTAAGCAGCTAAAGTTTAAAATTAAGGCAACAAAACACAAAACAAATTTAAATTTAAAACAAAACAAAAAACGCATACCAAAGTTCTATACAAAAGAAAAAACAAATAGATGTTGTTAAATTACAATTTAAAAAAAATGAATTAAAAAAATAATAACAAAAAAACACATGGTATCATTTGCAAATCCAAAATAAAATTTAACAAAAAAAAAAAAATTATATTTCAAATGAAATAAACAAATAGCGAAATAGTAATATATGAATTTTTAAATAGTTCATAGAGAAAAGTAAAAAAGAAAACAAAATAAAGAAACAGAATACATGGCAACACATACACAAATACCAATAATACCATATAACGACAGCAAACAAAAAACGTTTATGAAATAATGTAAGGTTATGAAAGACACTCACTCACAGGACATTGTGTGGAGAGCTATTGAACAGTTCTATCTTTCATGTAATGAGTTTGAAATTTTGATACGTATACAACGAGAGGATAGTGGGTATACCCAAATAATACTTTTTTGTATAATATATCAATGATCCAATAAAATACCAATAACGGTGCCATAGAACGGTTCCCTTAAATTTTTGATATTTTCAGAATTGTGAATGCGTTTTTCAATCGTATTGTATGTAATTCTGATAAATCTGCCTACACAAATTATTGATATTGATCCACTATTTTGTAACGTCCCTATATTTCGGTATTTTGAAAACATTTTCCAAACAAATTCTGATGGCATAGAAAATGTCCATATTAAAAATTATGAATATTGATCTAGCTATTTTGATAAAGACCCATATATAACCGTATATTCCAAACTTAAGTACGACTTTTTAGTAATTTGATATTTGAGTTTCTTATTGGGAAAATGAAAATAAATCGCCTCACCAAAAATTAGCAATATAAGTTGACGGAGTGGTATTTTAAAAAATTTCTTCAACCGAATTGCCTATAATTTCATATTTTCTGTTCTGAAGATGTTGAAACATCCATACCAAAAATTATTAATATTGGTCCACGTAATGGTACCTTCCTATTTTCGATATTTTGAATTTTCCAATTGAATTGTCTGTAATTTGATATTTTGGTTTCTGATCGACTACTATTTTTTCCTTTGAAGAATCAGCATGTGACTATGTTGACATTTTCGCGACCAACAGTCAATAGCAAAAGGGTTTGATTGCTTTTTCGTTACCAGAGATTTAGAAGGTAGTGCCGTCCAGATGATTTAAATTATGCGAAATTTCCCAGCAGCTGTTTCCCTGTAATAACCCTGGTCCGGGGTTCTCCAAAGGTCTCCTTTCAGAGGTATTTTTACGGACGATATGGACGCGCCCTTTCTTTCCTTTCGGATCCTCTTCACAACCAAGGGGTGTGATTACTTTTCCGTTAGCAGAGATTCGGCAGAAGGCACTGCCACTTGATTTGATATTTGCGGAATTTTTCAGTAACGGCTTCCCAGTCATAACCCTGTTTCTGGGTTCTCGAAAGATTTCCATTACAGAGTTTTTTTTACTGGATATTCTTCGGGACGGTCTAAATATGCCTTTGCCTTTTCTTGCCCT